AATCCTCCCAGACAAGTCTGGTACCAATTAACCGACCCCGGAGGGATGGAGGCTTGGTTGGCCCGGGCGACTCACGACCCAGGATTTGATCCCCGGACCGCTCGCGTGGTGAGCGTGCCACTTGTCACTACACCACTTCCGCCCACTGCTGTTATTGCTTTTTGAGATTTATTTATTGACCTATAGCCGTTATATATTCTGTTTTTGATAGTCTTCCCAGTTTGCGTTGTTTTCCCTCGTAAAATTCTTTTGACATTGATAAATTAGACTGACGCGTCGCGGCGCGTGCGTCCCTTCTGCGAACGTGCTACCAATCGCTTCATCGCCTCATCGCATAATAGCCGAAGTCTCAAACTATGAACGGGGCCTAAGGCTTGCCTTCAACGAGCGCGCGCCGCGACTGAAACATTTCATCCCTTTTCTGTGTAATGTAAACTTTCCTGTGACTTACCACGACTATCGGTGTAAAACAAATTTTCAGACAACGCTGTCGTGGTCAAAGGAGTTTTAGATCGGGAAGAGCACGATTACGGGATATTGACATGCCGATCGGAACACGACGTCTGTTTCACGTAATGCTTACAGACTGATTTTTCTTTCTATGATGAAAATGGAAGAGAGTGAAATTTGTGTAGGTCGAAATCCCGAGTTCTACCAAGTCAGCCAAGTCACTTTGGAAGAATTTCGGAATTGGGAGACTTCCTTTTAGAGAGTCGTGTCTATAGTCTGGTTAAGCCTGGTTCGTTCTGATACATTCTAACGGCTCTTCCCCACCTCCTCCAATCTTCAGAGGTATATGGAGGCCGCCAAGCTTCATCAAAATTTATTTACAATCTCCCAAGTTCCCGGGAAGCTGCTTCCTCCTGTGCTCCTTTGATGTGCGACCCCTTTCCTGAAATACAACCCACATCTAAAAGGTGCCGTCGGAGCGCCGCCACCATACAGTATTGGGTCACTCTCCGTTTCTGTCCGTTTCTGAACGTTTGTGGAATCTCGTTTTTGCTTTCTGCAATCTACAGCTTCATCTTCATGAACCTCACTGCTACGCCGCCTTTAATATTACCAATGCAAAAGGCTTTCAAGATAGTTATGCCTTCTTACAGGTCGATTATTCTTAATCTTCAAC